TAAAGTCATGTTATAACATCGACTGAGATAAAAAATAAAATAAAATATTAAAAACACGATGTATCTCGCTGCATTGCGCGAGTACTCTTCTAGTTTCTTAATAAAAACCGGTAGAGGTATAATCCTCTTTATAAAAAGAAAAAACTTCATCATCAATAAGACAAACAATGTATAAATTATCCACACACTTATCATTATTATTACTCATTTTATTTAATTTCTATAACTTTATTCTTAACCAAATACACACATATATATATATATATATATATTAAAATTTCACTAATTAGATTTTATTAACTTTTTCGAATTATTTGAATACTCAAATCTATTTGTTGATTAACCAAAGTAGTCTTCCTACCTGTTCCCACACCGGTTTAATTAAAATTTGATGGAATCGTTATATACGTAAAATCTCCCAAACACCAACCAATCGTTCATTTACCAGGGTATGAGCCTATAATTAAGAGGCGTGGCATTTCCATGGCTTCACTCTCCACAGTTAGCCTTCCTGCTCGTCTCCTGCAATTACCCGAAAAGAAAACCATATGTTCTTGAAGATCGGAACTGTTGTTGCAAGCTAAAACCGTTGCATAGAAGACTTTACACTTGGTCAAAGAGGTTTTCTTGTGTCTATTTTGAGTTTTACTTTCTCGTTGATGTTAGTTTGATGTGAATCACTTGTGTGTATTTTTCTCAAGTTGTTTGATGATTTCACTTCTGTGGTTATTCATCATCGGTTATTTATTGCCTGAGATGTGGTCATTGACGTCCCGTTAAATCATTATTTGGCAGTATTTGGAACTATTTGAGGTAAACTACATTCAATATTTTTAAGATTGCACCGTTGGGTTTAATCCAAAGTTAAAGTATAACAATATACCGCTCGTAGTATTTTTCTATCAACATTGTCTACTACCTGTTTGATGAAATGCTTAAAAGAAATTGTAGTGAAACAAAGGCTAGTGATGTACCAAAGAAGAGCTACTACCATCTTGATATGCAGAATCTTTTCATATTAAGGATGTATCCTGTCTGCAACAGGGATTTGATTATACTGGATCCAGTATTTGGAGAGTTCACATATGTATATTTGTTGTATTATAAAAGCCAAAGTATAACATTTTACCTTGATTGAGCTTGAATGTAGGCATTGCTCATAGAGAATGGAACCTTGAATATTAGCTCAATCATTAGAAAATTTTTAGTTTCTATTTCAGATTATGTATTGAAGGGGAGCCGAGGAACGCCTTTTGCAGGCTGGTTCTTTGTATTTTAACACCTAGAAATGAATTCTAGAAACAAAAAATATGTTCTGAAATTAAAATGGGTTGAAATTTGTAATAAGAGTGCTTGATTACCACAAATCTCCCTCCACCAATATTTTGTGTCAGTGTTCTCTGTGCATGTATAGCTTAAACTTGAGTAGCAAATTTTCTATACTAATGCTAACATGTGTAATAGCTTATAGCTCTAACTGTTAAAATGTTGTGTAATAACTTTAATTGCTATGCACCTAAAAACTAGCATTGGTGGATGAGTTTTGGTAAGAGAGATGCATTACAAACTTAAGTCGGTCTGTTAAAAATGCTAGTATACTCCTGGAGTGCAGTTGCAGGTTTAATCCTTGTAATTGTATTGTTGGGAATTTGATTGTCTATGTGTATACAAATTTCCTGCGGTGTATGGAATTTATCGACACTACTATAGAGTGAAGTATTTTGTGTTGTGTAAGTAATTTTGAAACTTTTTGTAAATTATAAGCTATTCAGGTAATTTATTTATTCAGAACCCTTATCAAACAACATATTTCATTCAACAGTAAATCATACACAGGGTTAAAATGGTAATTTTTACTCATTTCAGACCGTTCGTTTAGAACATTTACCAAACAACCATTTTTCAATCTACATTATACAGAACCTTTTAGTCATTTTGACCACTTAGTCATTATGCATCAAATCATTCAACATCTATCAAACAGCCCTTTAATAATGTAATTCCAAAATGGAGAATCTGTAGGGTTATATAGAGAATTTGACTTTTTCCTTCTCCATTTTGGAGAACCTATTTGAGATGCTCGGGGACCTAAAATTGAAGCACCACATCATCGCATCCAATCTGCGTCTACTGAATATAATCTGGAACATGTTACAACACAGGTTAAGCAGCAGCTGCTGCAAGATCTCTTTTCCACTGGTACATACACAACTCCACATTCCCCCTTACGTTCTAGTATTATAAGAAACCAACCGTGTGTAACCTCGTTGATGTTGGCCATAAGCAGAATTTAGGGCACTTGATTTTATTTTTATTCCTTTCGTATTGGGCATGTCGATTAATGGTTATTAAATTGGGGGTTCTCTTTTCCTCCACCAAGTGTTTGATTAAATTCCCCTCAGAGCATTCAAAATAAAACTGCTGGGATGTGTTAAAAAACTTGGTGCAAATTCATCATATGGGGATGCTGTAGTTTCATATTTTCATATATGCAAATTACAATTTTTTTTTTCTCTCTCTATGATGATGAGATGGTTTTATGAAGTTAAATATGAACTGCCTTCTTCATGATTTTGCGCTTATTGCACATGCTATTGTTAGATGTGGAGTGTAAGTAATTGAAATATTGAATATGCTGTTTTGCTAGGTTGGTTCTGCAGATTGTGCGACTATGTCAAGGCTACCCTGCAAAACGAGCTTTTACAAATACTAGACACTTGGAGGTAGATGGTGTTAGTAAGGAAACTGAGATATGGGAACTTAAAAGTTCTTTATGCTGTTCAAGGCATGTTTTCTTGCAGTTATCTTAATGCTGTTAGAGTACACAGATGCCAGATTACAAGGTATTCCTGTTGCGGCATGGCATTTCATCAATCAGTCTTTTCTTCCATGTGTAACTTGCCTGGACAAGTTAACGCCTTGTATGTTCTGCCTGGAAATACCCATCCATGGAAATCTTTTTCAACCATGGCCAGCACAATCCTCGTCCAAGCTAGGGATCCAGCTAAGTTAAGTGAGGAGTTGCAAAATGCGCTTGATGAACATAGGCTTGATGATGCTTGGAACTTGCACGAACAACACATGAACATGGAAGGATTTCCCAGGAAATCTATTGTGAACAAGCTTCTTATAACTTTTGCTCAAAGTTTAGAGCTTCAGTGGCTTGACAGGGCTTATCATCTAGTACAGAAGGCCATTGAGGAGCACAAACAGAACTTGCTAGAGAAGGAAACTCTTATATATCTATCACTATGTCTTGCAAGATATCCTTTACCTGTGAATGCAGCAACTATTTTGAGGAAGTTGGTTGAAACCGAACAGTATCCTCCGGTGACTGCTTGGTCTGCTATACTAGCTTACATGTCGCAAACTGCTGCTGGTGCTTATCTGGCTGCTGAACTGGTTATTGAGATTGGTTTTATGTTCCAAGATGGGAGGGTGGACCCCTGTAAAAAGAGTAATCAACACCTGATTGCTATGAAGCCTAATACAACAGCCTTAAACATTGCACTGGCAGGATGTCTTCTTTTTGGCACAAGTAGGAAAGCAGAGCAGATTTTGGACATGATACCTCGAATTGGTGTGAAAGCTGACATTACCCTATTGATCATGATGGGCCATATCTATGAAAGGAATGGACGAAGAGAAGAGCTTAAAAAACTTAAGAGATACATTGATGAAGCCCATGATTTAAGTGATGTTCACTTTAGGGAGTTCTATAATTGTTTGCTTTCTTGCCATTTGAAATTTGGGGATCTAGAATCTGCATCCCACATGGTTCTGGAAATGCTCGGGAAGGCAAGGAAAGCTCAAAATGCTCTTGGTATGGCTACTTTTATGTTTCAAGTTGCAAAAATTGACAATAAATCCGTTCCATTTGGTCAAGTAGAGTCTCGTGAGAGTTTGACTCATGAAAAATCAGATGATGCAGATAGCTCTATGGCAATTAGAAGCCAGACTTTGTCTTATGAAGATTTTTGTGGAGAACGGAAGTTCCTAAAACTTGAAGCAGAGGCTAAAGAACTACTTAGTACACTAGTAGAGAAGTTTCAGAGGCAAGGAAAACTGATCACAACCGAACGTGGTATCCTCCAACCAACGGAGACAATCTTTGTGAAATTGATTAAGGCTTTCTTGGAAGCTAGCAAGATAAAGGAGCTGGTTGGATTTCTAGTCAAGGTAGAGAAAGAGGATTCCCCAGTTTCTCCTGATTGCTCGCCTTTGGTTCAAGTTGTCAATTCATGTATTTCTCTTGGATGGTTGGATCAGGCACATGATCTTCTTGATGAAATGCGTCTGTGTGGTGTTAAAACAGGATCTTCTGTTTATTCATCCCTTCTAAAAGCGTATTGTAAAGAAAACAGGGCAGCAGAAGTCCAGTCACTCCTTAGAGATGCATGTAAGGCTGGGGTCCAGCTTGATGCAAGCTGTTATGAGGCACTGATCCAGTCCCACGTGGTTGATGAAGATACTCAAGGGGCTCTGAATTTATTTAAAGAAATGAAAGAAGCTAGACTAGATAAGCCTGGTCAAAAGGAATTTGATTTGTTGGTTCAAGGATGTGTGGGGAGTGGAGAAGCTAAACTGATGGCGAAACTTTTGCAGGAAATCAAGGAGGGACAGGGAGTTGATTGTGGCGTCCATGATTGGAACAATGTGATCCACTTTTTTTCTAGGAAGAGGCTGATGCAAGATGCTGAGAAAGCTCTCAAGAAGATGAGGAGTTTAGGACATGCCCCAAATGCTCAAACTTTTCATTCTCTAGTAACTGGATATGCCGCTATTGGAGGGAAGTATACTGAGGTAACTGAACTCTGGGGTGAGATGAAAGTTCTTGCCTTCTATCATGGAATGAAGTTTGATCAAGAATTGTTGGATTCTGTACTTTATACTTTTGTAAGAGGTGGATTTTTTATTCGAGCTAACGAAGTTGTGGAGATGATGGATAAAGGTAAAATGTTTGTGGACAAGTACAAGTACCGTACCCTTTTCTTGAAGTACCATAAAACATTCTGCAAGGGGAAGGCTCCCAAAGTCCAAACAGAGTCACAGTTAAATAGGAGGGAGGCTGCAATGAGATTTAAGAAATGGGTTGGGTTATTTTGAGGAATATTTATCTCTATCTGCTTAAGATGGATCATCTATTTTGATAAAGAGCTACGGGTCATCTTTTTTTATAAAGAACTATGGATCATCTGGACTTCACACAATGGTGTTTCAGAACTCTATGATTCCCCCGAGCCACTAAATTATCTTAATTAAGTTCTGTGTCTCCTCTATCAAGTCATTTCTCTTTTTATTCTTATTCTGTTTTATCATCCATCACATGCAATCAATGCGCTTGCAAACTATTCAACTAGAAGTTCAGAATGATCTCTTAGTTCCTGGTGATCTCATTTATATCGTGCAGGTAATAATGGATGAGATGAGTCTCAACCAGCTACGGCTATTATAGTTGATCTTGGCTTTGTATATAACCCAGAGAGCTGATATTATGTAGATCAAACAATAAAGAAGCATACTAGCAGCCTCTGAACTACTCACAGGTATGTCATGGCATTTTTGGCTTTCTTGGGACCTGAGTAGTTTAATCATAGAAGTCAGTTATAGGTTGTTTGTATGAGGCGATTTTGGCTGTTGTGATGTTTAAATTTTTGATGGTACTTGCAGCAAATTCTGAATGATATAATTTGGTGCCGAGTCGGAAATCTAAATACGATCAGACAGTTTCGTATATGTACATGGTTACACGCAATTTGGCATCTTTTATTTTCTTTGCATCTAGCATTCTATTCGAAGTTTATCATCATCGTTTTATCTTTTCGCGGAACCTGTTCCTCATAAGGTCTTGAGAATTGGTTATTGGTGTTTGTGATGTTTCACCTGTAGTCATCTTGATCTGTTTGTCTTGTTCATCCATTTCATCATGTTTATTATGAGCTCTTGATTTGTATTGATGGGTCACATGGTAATCCAATATGGTACAAGTTTTCTGTCATGTCAAATCTGTTTTCATGAGTGATTGAACTTTGTTTGTTACATGAACCATACTCATTATTACGGACGCTTAAGGAATTACTTGCTAGCATCCCCTCATGCATATGCAACTCATGCTTCTCTAAGTTTCTCTTTTTACCATTACTTTCTGTTAAATTTTTGTGGTCCTGTTTGAATACAAGCCTTCGACTAGATTGCTGCAGTTGCTAGGTCCCTATAGTCATGGCTTATTTTTGCTATCTAAAGCCAAATATCCTAAAATTAATGCAGCAGACATTGTAATTTATGTGAACTATATTCTTTCTGTGGGTCAGCTGGTATAAAAGAGTATGGTTATGCAAGTCGAATGAGGTTGTGTGCACTAAAAATCATTTACTACTAGAACGAGGTTAAGTTAGGTCAAAACGACACTACTAAATTTAATGACCCATTAATGAAACACAAAATAAACGTAGACCTTGAAAACATGCGATAACCCAAACTAGGTGTTCTTGGTAAGGGAAGATCTTCCATGATCACCATCCGGACAACAGTTAATTTAAGATTTGAAGAGGGGGAGAAGAGAAGGCTTTACCTGGTAACTCGAGAACATTTTTGTTAAAATATATGTCAAATCTAACATCGTTCTTTTTTAACATTGCAACAAAACAATAGCTCTGTTAGAGGAAAAGCACATCAAAATACTAAGTATGGAAATTTTGAGATAAAAAAAAGATCACCAAGAAGGTCTAACTAGAGAGATTTGGTTCTCCAATGCTCGACAATTTGAAATCCTTTTTGGCTGATTAAGGGAAAATCTATGGAGCATTCATAATTCTATTGTAAATCATTTTCAGGCCACGGGTAATCGTTGCAAAAGATGGTCTGTATTCGGGGTCTTCATCCCATGCCAGTTGAGTCAGTTCAATGAGATCTTCAATCTTGTCATCATGCTCTGGGAGTGCTGGTCTTATCTTGCCCTCCCCAACTTGTAATGCAATCTTTTCATCATCAAACACAAAGGTACACCAACTGTTTGTTAAAAACCCAAAATGAAAAAGGAAAAAAAGAATATTTACTTGCAGTGATGGTAGTATGTTTTACTTTACTACCTTGGAGGGACCGTAGTCTGTCTCAATATATGGGTATTGGCCTGTTAGAAGCTCGTTAAGTATGATGCCAAAACTGTAAACATCACATTTTTCATCGTATGGCTCACTTCGGATCACCTCTGGAGCCATGTATACGAATGTGCCTGAAGAAAACAACATACACTTATTGTATTTTGTGCTTCAGATGATCAAATAGTGTGCTAATCAGGTTTCTTGTATGTAGCTAGAACTCATGTTGAACTACTGTCTGTTTAGTTAAAGTGGAGACTTTTGATATTAGAGTAGTTGAAAAATACGGTATCATGATCTACATGGGGGCAAAACTAACGTGATAGTGTCATTATCTTATCAATCAGGAAAATATGGGTTAGGGAATGTGTTCTAGTTGCCGGTTCATAAAGAAGATGCATTTCAACTGTTGAGGACAAATTGAATGACATTTTGATGTGTGCTTTGATGGATCTCCTCTCAAAAACCATTTTGTTGTTGAGCTGGGATCTTTCTGTCACATGCTGCCATACCACCTTCAACCTTGTTGAAGAATTTCAAATATACTTCTTTAATTTGCCAAAAAAAAGAAAAGAAAAGATGCAAAAGTCTTGCCTGTTTCGCCTGTAAAGGCTTTTTCTTCATCTGTTAAGAACCGGGCATGGCCAAAATCTGCAACTCTTACATGAAAAGCATCGTCCAAAAATATGTTACTAGGTTTTAAGTCCCTATGTATGATCATAGGCTTGTGCTCATGTAGATATTGCATCCCTTGAGCCACCTCTAATGCCTTGGCTAATCTCTTCTCAAAAGGAGGAAGTGGAGTGACCCGTTCTTTCCTCCTCTTACCAGGACCATGTAGCCAGTCTTTCAAAGTCATATTTAGGAATTCAGTAACAACCCACCCATGGTTGGGTGGGTCAAGACATGCACCCATTAGCTGTAGTACGTAGGTGTGGCGCTGTCTTGATAGTGTTTCCACCTCCTGAGCAAAAAAGCTGACTCCACAATCATTTAATCTGAAGAAATCTGGAAATATGCACTTCACTGCAACATCCAGGCCTCTCCATGTTGCTTTGTATATTTCTGCCGTGCTTCCTTGAGCTACTTTCTTGTGCAGTTCAATCTTGTACCAAACGAGAAAGCCAATCTCATAAGATTGTGTGTGCATTTTCTAATCTCTTTGTAAAAGTGCATGTATGAGTTTTCTATATGGGTGAATAATATATGTACCTCGTGTGGATGTATGTACCATCCATTAAGCTTGGCTTGCTCGATGATGGCCGAAAGATTGGTGTTGTGTTGGACGGTTGGTGGGGGTTGAGGATTTATAGAAGCTTGAACGATGGCAGATGAGGGACCAAGAGATGGTTGTTGAGGGCTATCGTTTTTGTTAAGAATAAATTTCAAGAATCCATTGTCCTGTGCTACCTGTAGACAGTATTTTAGGTAATCTTGTGTTCTTTCCAACCTCATCTTGTACATACACCTCATTTCTTTCTCTTTCTTCACTTCTTTCTGTAGCTCTTCCACCTTCAACACAAGTTAAAAACCAACTTTAGAATTACATCCCACTCCATAGAACTTGAGTATGGATGTTTTTTTATATAACTGTTGGTGTCCAGGCCAACTTGCATGAGATCCCTCAAGTTAGTGGACAGAAACTTGTCCCACATTTGGTGCAATAATGAGAGTATGAGACTAGGACCGGATAGGAATGAGTGGTACAAAAATGCTTTTTTCTGTTCCACGAAAACAGGTGGAACAAAATTCAAGGAGATGGACAATCTTGGTAAATTACTAAACTACTCAAGTTAAAACCCTAAAACCTTCCACAATTCTTTGCCCTGTCCGCGTACCAAATGCAACCCTGAGGGGACTCAAACCCAAAGTCTTACCAATTGAGCAACCCGTCATGGTTTTCAGTATGGATGTTAACAGGTGTTGTACAGTACCTGAAGCTCGAGTCTGGAGCTAGACTGACGAGGTGGTGGAGCAGCAATGGTCGGTTTCGTCATGCAATCACCAAATGAACCACAAAATCCTTTTCGAGAACTTCTGGTGGTAGCAGCGGTGTTTTCTTGTCGGGAGGAAGACACGTTAGCAGCAATCGGGATGCTGTTTGGCTGTTGTCGACTCATAATGACTATTTTTCTTCGAGTCCCAGAGGTAATGTAACTAACCAAATGGTAGTTTTATGTGCAGGTTTGGACAAAAAAAGGAGCTTTCAGAAGGCCAGCAATGGGCGGAGGTTGTTATAATGAAGGGTGGTTTAATTTGTTTCTAGCATCGACCTCTGCATTGATCCTATGTGAGTTTCTCCGGATTTCGTCTTAACGTCTATTACATTGAAACTATCATCTCTCGTCTATTATTTTATAATCTTTCGGTTTTAGTCGGATCCGATTGTAGCAAAACATCTTTCATATAGTCTAACAATAAACAACAACAATACTTGCAATAGCATTAAATCGCTTTAGATGTATCGGGGTTTGGAGAACATTGATGTATATTTGGTGGCAGGTAGACGTTGCTGAAATTGTTGATTCTAATAGGCATGTGCATTCCTGTTTTTATACATATATATATATATATATACACATACACATACACATACACATACACATACACATACACATACACATACACATACACATACACATACACATACACATACATATATATATATATGTATATGTATATATATATATATGTATATATATATATGTATATGTAGTGGCAGAGATTTAACGACAACTGTATCTATTTAAAAGAACACGAAAACGGGTAAATCACATGTAAAATCATGTGATTTTAATTAATGGTCAAAAAAAGTGTCTGGACCACTTGTGGCAGCCTCTTCAGGTCACGTGATTTTGTATGTGATAGTGTAAAATCACATGTGATTCGCCCGCTTTCGTGTTCTTTTAAATAGGTAGCGTTCCCATTTGATCATCCGTCTATATACATACATATATATAGAGAGAGAAAGGATCATGCGAGAAGTTTCAATATCATATATGATTACACTCATTTGGGTGTGTTTTAATCATTCATATATATATATATATATATATATATATATATATGGGCAAGTTTATTTGTTAACCTTAATTATCGTGTTAATTTTATGAACTAATCATGACCATTGATTTTTAAAATAAAGGGTTGAGATTAATCATATTATAAATTTAATTTATTAAATATGTAATCTCACAAACATATGTGAACATAATTGATGAAGGGTATTTATGTAAAAGATAATGTGCATGCAGTGAAATCGGTTACAAACAATAGAAATCATATAAGTACAATTGTGTTCGTAATTGTCACAAATGTTCATATATGTTTAATTTATGTTCATAATTGCCACAAGTGTTCACATATATGTTCAGTTTATGTTCATAATTGTCACAAGTGTTCATATATGTCAATTTGTGTTCATATGAGCGTATACATGTGAATCTGTCTCATATATGTCAATTTGTGTTCATAATTACCAAGACACCCGCTTTGATTATTTATTTCACTTCCCGATCTTGAACTTCGATTGTTACCATAAACAATTTTAACTTTCTCAATGTTGTCGTGTTGTTTTTCAATATCTTTTTCATAATTACTTGAACGATAACAAACACTTTACTAGCGAATATCCTCCACCAATCACAAATTTATAAATATTAAAGATGGAAGATCGATATTAAAAAAAAATTCATAAGATCAATATTAAGAAAATGCAAAAATCATGGGATTTTATGGATCTTATAACTCCCAATAAATGATGTATGAGTTATAAAAAAAAAAAAAATTACTCGTATACCTTTAACATTAATTTCTTATATCGTGAAAAACCTAATACTTGAATGAATTGTGATTGATAGAAAAAGTTTATAAAGATGACACAATAATTTTGGTTAATAGTTGAACTAAACTTTCTTTCTCTTTCCCTCCATATGCTAAACGGTTAAGAGTTGAAATTTAAGAGATACATTTCATTATGCATCAGGTACAACTGTACAAGTTTTGAAGCTAAACAACTTCCACGTTTCAAAGATAATATTAAAATCAAATTATTTTTAATTTTTAAGTTACACTTTACACCTTTATAGTTAGTTATTCAATTTATTTTATATATTTTTTTTTTCATTTTACATCATTATCATATTATCATATATTAACTAAAATATAATTATCTCATCAATGCCTTCAGAATGAGCCTAATATTTAATATTTTTTGATTTAATCTCATAATATTAAATAACATAAATACGTAATGAATTATTTTTAGAACTTTCATTTTATACCTTTTAGTTATTGTATTTAATTTATTTTATATTTCTTATTTTTTTCATTTCTATTTACACCCTTAATTTACAAATTTAAAGCTGTATAACTCATAACTTTAAATTTCCACATCCAAGATAATATTAAAGATCAAATACTTTTTTTATTTTTAAATTACAATTTATACTCTTATAATTAATTATATAATTTGTTTCATATCACTTACTTTTTTATTTTTATCATATTAAAATAAATAATCGTATATGAACTAAACTTATTATGAAATATATATATATATATATATATTTTTTATAAACTAGTTGTCTACCGGCGCAATGCGACGGGGTATAATTTTACATAAATGTAGGCGAGAATACCGATTGATGATTACAACACATACACACATGATTGTCATAGCAAGACCAAACCAACTTGTGTCGATTTTTTAATTTGATTTTTAAATAGTTTGTTTTGTTATTCAATCTTAATTCTCATACAAAGTATTGATTGTTTTATTTGATTTATTAACTTCTACTTCTTTACCCATGCGATGTGACGGGACACGACCACTCCTATTGAAACAAAATAGCTACCAATACTTGCACAAGCAATCAGTCAAATCCATTTTGTTGACATCCATTTGCCATTGAAACACAATAGCTAATTGGTACATGAGAAGTTTTCTTTTGGAAAAAATGCAAATAGCAGACTCATATAACAAAAAAAAAGCAACAATTATAAATGGTTAGAAACTTTGAGCATTTGGATAAACGACCCTTAAATACCTCAATCAAAACTTAAAAATTAGGATCATAATTTACTTTTAATATTGTTAGCAGGTGCTATAATAGTCCTTGTATATTCAACACTCGGTACAAACTCCAGCTGATGCTATAATAGCCCAACTGTCATAAAGCAACCACCAAAAAAAAAAAACTCAAGCGGCCAATCATTAAATCACGACGATAATTTCACAAGTAGCAAACAAATCAAGTAGCTAAAATGTTACATGCACAATGTTGCAGGAAGTAAAATTATTATAAACAATTATAAAATTAAACTAAGGAATGGAAAGAGAATGATATGGTTTTTAGACCTTAGAATAGGGATGTAAAAGAAGATTAAACCAAACCTTCCATTTACCTTTAACACCGTATACAACTTCATCTTTATTGGTCACTGATACAATCTTAACCACTGAGACCACCAACATTATTAGATCCTCTTGTAGACATTGAAATAATTAAGAACCAGAAAATCCATCCAATGCACTTCAAAACTCCAACCTAAAATATGGGGATAACAACATCAATACGAAATATAGTGGGAAAATGTATGACTACACCTTTTAATAGCTATGTGTAGCTTTTACTCTTGCTCCAATTCACTGATACACGGATAGTGGAAGAGTTGGTCTATGGGTTTAGAGTTTAGAGTTTATAGCAAGGAGGCATGTTATATCCTAGAAGTCATCCCATGATAACATTTCTTTTCCACAAATAACAAATGGAAGTTATTTTGTGACCTTTGTTGTGTAGTTAAGTAGGCACCCCTACAGTTATTAAGGAACCAATGATTCTTATAGAAGTACAAGCTCTAAATAACAAAAGTGTTCAAATAGTTGCCAAGAATTATCATTAAAATTCTATCCTCCAAATTGAAATTATGCTTCCTCAAGAATCATCTGAAGAAGCCACTTTATCTATGGCATACAACATGTGCTAGTTCTTATAATGCACATGATTTTCTTTTTTCTTTCAAAGAAAGTTCTCATGGAAGTGACAGATTGAACGGTGTGAAGACCGCAATATAAACGTACCATGGCTCCGGATATTGCTTAAAAGGCTAGCGACTGAAGACAAGGATGTGTGTCTTAGCATCTCGCTTACCTGAATAAAATATGAATAACCCCATTATAAACATGGAATAGAACTTGTCAAAAGATTATATGAATGACTTGGCAACCTGTTCAAATTAAAATCTCTTTCAACATATACAAAATTCAGCCTCCTTATACATTTTCCTAACGGGTGCTTCTTGTAATATAGTTTTGCATCTATATTAACTCTGCATAGTGGATTGCCACGATGAATTTCCCTTAAAATTTTATGGATAGAAGCACTCAACCCTTCATATGAAGTCATTGTAAACTCAATCTGATATCTAAATGGTAATAAACCATACAAAATCAACAATGCAGACAAGACAACTTAATGTACTTATAAAATAATGATAATGGGTTGTTTATGTGAATCTCAAATATCAATCAAATAAGATAATCTTCAAAGTAGAATTGATAGGAGAGAGAGAATTTCACCAAAGTTTTTGAATGAATTTATTGAGAGAGTAATTACAAAGTGATTAGCAAGAGTAATTACAATTAAGCTTCTAAACTCTTATTTATACTAAGAAAGCAATAACTCTAACTATTACAAAATAGAAGAAACAACTTGAATACAACATATTAGCACAGTATTGAACCCAACATTCTCTCCCTTTGGATTCAAGTTCGAGAAATGGTAAATCTTGACTTTCTTAGCCCCAGAAGCGTTTCAATTCTCCTTAATGCACTCCGATATTGCAATTTATCGTCTAACAGGTTCAGAGCACTGATTAGAAGATACCTTTCCTTTGGACTCATTCTCTCTTTTTATGCGGCTTTATCATTATCGGCTTTAATCTTCTCAAGCGTCCGACGCACTATCATTATTGAACCGTCATAGTACTTGTTCAACTCACTGAATCTCATAAATCTTTTTGTTCTACCTTCAGCATCATAAATCACTCCAAACTTTAAATCTTCAAGAATGATGTAGATAGGATAGCTTTCAATGTCTTCAAGGTCTTGATCTGGTCTTTTTCAAATTTATAATCTTCTGATTATCTTCAAGGCCCATTTGAATATCAATGACCATTGACACTTTTGACACGGCACTTCAAATATCTCTTGATCGCTTCTAGAGCAATAACTGCTCCTTCTCTTCTAACTGTAAGATTCCGCATTTCGTGATACAGATGTTCCAGATCTTCCAGATAAAGATTTGAGAAATCAGCTTCACTGAATGTCTAGACATGTCCATCCTGCCTTGTAACAGTAAAGACTGGATACCAAACTTTGAGGATTTTATTAGCATCAATTTGCTTGATGGATACAATACGAAGTCTGGTT